GATAGATAGATAGATAGATAGATAGATAGATAGATAGATAGATAGATAGATAGATCTTCACTGCTTTAGTGACTGAGGTTGGGATCCACCATTATCTGGTGAAGCACAGACAGCAGTGTCCTTTACTAGCTAGTTAACTGGTTACTAATTGGTTTCTCAGTTGATTTCAATCTGTTGATTATGTTTAATAGCCTTTATTAACATCCTTTATGATAGCCTCACATTTAAAGGCCTTTAATATTTTACCTTTAACTTTGTTTCTTTATTTGGTGCCTTCAAGTCAGCCTTGAGTTCTGACAACTATGTGAAGTTTTCTTGGCAAGATTTTCACAAGTGGCTTGCCCTTGCCTTCTTCTTTGGGCTGAGAGAGAGTGACTGGCCTAAAGTCACCGGGCTGGCTTCATGCCTAAGGCAGAACTAGAACTTACAGTTTCCCTGCTCCTAGTCCAGTGCTATTAACTACTACATCAAGCTTGGGTTGAGAAAGATGGCTGTCCCAAAGTAACCCAGCTGGCTTTTGTGCCTAAATAGGACTAGAACTCACGGTCTCCTGGTTTCTAATCCAGCAGCTTAACCACTAAACATAGGTGAAAAATGTGTGTGGCCTGCAGGGGTACCCAGGGTCCACCAACCTCCTTCTTGGCCCCCACTCCAAGGCCCTGTGTGAGCCTTTTTCTCTTACATTTGGGGGCTTAGAGGTTTTAAAATGTGAGTCCTTTCTTGCATTTGGGGTAGTTGTGGGTTTTAAAGGGCAAAGAAAGACAACCAAGGAGCTGGAAAAGGAAGTATGTGTATAAAATTATCAGAAAAACTGAAAATGTCTGCAAGCTAAACAGTTAAAGCATTTGTAAGCTGGGACTGATGGTGGACGAGGGTTAGAGGGAACTCTAAGGAAAACCAGGAACAATGTATAGTAGTGAATAAAAATGTCACTGTTGTTTGTTTCCCCTCCAAGTTAAACTGCGAAGGGTTACAATTTCTGAGAGCCCTTCCGGATAAAATATTACAGTACTATTTGCAGGAACTCCAAACTACATTTTATTTGCTCATTTTTATCATGCTGATCTTAGACATTTAAATGTGATTATATTTTCATTATTTATCTATTTATGTATTAAATTTGTATGCCACCCATCTCCCCCCAACGGGTGACTCTGGGAAGCTCATAATAAAGGGCATATCTAAGCCCCTTATTATTGGCAAGCCAGTTTTTGGGATTATTGGGGTAGTGTTCTGCAAAACAGAGTATTAAACAAATAGAGTAAACCAATATATTTATCTGTGCACAATGTTGCAATCAAAGCAATTCAATATAGACTTCTCTCTTTGAAAGAATTCATGACTTGGAACCATCAGTTACATTAGTCAGAAATAAAACCTACCTGTTTTCTTTTTTCAGGAGGAAGAGAAGGATCCCCATCCTACAAAGAAAGGACAGGTATAACTAGGAAAATAAGATGGAATAAAGAACTCTAATTTGCACTAATACTTCAATAAAGCATTAAGGTCTTGTACCATGATGCGATATGCATTAAAAGGTTTCAGCTTTAAGCCTGTTCAAAGTTTACATCTTTTCTTCTTGTTAATATTAATAAAAATGGTCAACGGCACTTCAGAAAATCAGAATTTAAAAGATTATAAGGAAATATTTAATCTTGCTCATTGCATTGCAAGAGGGAAAAGGTTTTATATTATCCAAGTTTTCAAACCAGCTACATACAATTAGTTCTTGGTATTTCTTTTTCAGCGATTGGTGCTTTTCCCGTAGTTGATTAGCCATAAGCTTGAATTGGTCTCTTTCCTGTTGACACGAATCAAGCTCCTTCGAAAGAATAAGCAACGCTTCCTTCTTACTCTCTAGCTTCCTTTTACATACCAGATACTGCAAGGCAATGAAGGTGAAACTTTAATACTTGCTCCTTAAAACATAAAATAAAAATCAGAGGCATTTCTATTTTAATGGAGAAAATATTTGGATTTCTTCCCATAATTATGATCTGTCAGTTAAGATTAGGCAATTTCACAGAGTTCGGACTGGTCATTCATGTCATCCAGTCCAACCCCTGCTGGCTGCAGGAATCCAAATTAAACATCCTTGAACACATACAGTGAAGGGGAATTCCGCATTTCTCTGGGTCATTGGTCCCACTATCAAACTGCTTTTCTGGTTAGTATGTTCCCCCCCCCCCCAACTTTCTCAGACTCCAAGTCTATAACTCTTTATCCAGATTCAGGTCGTGAAATTCCACTGGTCTTCTTTTCAAGTGGACATATTAAGGCTCATTACGTTACACCACAATCCTATAGACATGCATGCACAGGACTGCTACCCTAGGCATAAGTACCTGGAAATAAATCCCACTGAATACTCTTTGATCTGGAAAAAAATCACTTTTTAGAAACATATTTACTTTTAACAATTATGTTCTTTCCTTAATTATGCAGGGATAAATCCCATTGTATTTGGGACTATATGCATATAATAATAGTCCAGCAGAACAATACAAAATGTCTAAATGTCTTCAGCTGGAACAGCAAAGTTCCCCTTTTTTCCTCAGCTTTCCCTTCCAATCATCTCTTGTTTATTTAATGCATTGTATACAGCTTCCCAGAATTGCAAATGTTGAAGCAGATTATACTTGACAATTGATTAAAATGATATAAACATAATCCATTCAGTTATGGAAAATGAGATAAGGAAGGCAATGAAACAAATGAAAACTGCACGTACAGCATTCATATGGGGAAGGGGTGGGAAAAGAGGTAAGTCTTCAAGAAGTCTAAATGAAGTTACCATCACCATTTCACTGAGGTGCAACACTTCCAAGATGATTCCAAAAAGGGGGTTCAGAAAGGGTGGAAGCACATGACTAGCATTTTTATAGCTCTTTAAAACAGCCACATCTTCTCCCAAGATTATGTGGCTGTCCTCTGCAGCTGCCACGCAGTCTTGAGAAAAGAGGTGGTTGTTTTAATTAATTGCAAACAGGTGTTGCATGCACCCTTGCACATTCTCCAAAGCATCTTTTTGCATTTTGGAATTGAATCCAGAGCACTGCACAAGCCCGCCAATTTCAGAGGGGCAGCATTCTGAAATACACCAACAGCTAGGCTATCCCTTCCTGAAAGGATGTGGATGCTATACTAACCAAAGCTGGTAACAGGCACCCCTGGCCAATAAAGGTCTCCAAGCAAGATGCCCATTCTTTCTGAATGAGTTCAACCCCACTCAGAAGATGCAAACTCCCCAGTTCCCATATCTAGAAACCACCCATAAAGTCTTGTTAAGATTCAATTTCAGTACACTGTCTCCAGTCCACACATCCAGTTACAGGATTAGAATATACATAACCTTTCCTGATCCAAATGTAAGCCAGTGTCACCAGCTGGTGCCATCAGCATATTGATGATAAATTGCCCCCAATCCTTGATACCTGTCCCCAGCAGCCTCATATTGCTTCATACTCATATTAATTAGCAAGAGTTATGGCACTCCACAATATAGCTGATGGGATACAGCAACACAGTCACCTCCTCACACAAGTAGGACAACTGTATATGGCTAAGGTCCAGGAGGACATTGCTGATGCCAAAAGCCACTGAGAGATCAAGCAGGATCAACAAGCCATGCTTCCTTCATCTCTCTTTCCTACAGGAGGTGACCTACAGCGGTCACCATGACTGAACATGTCCCCAAACCAGCTGTAGAATAAAAAGGTGCACCTAAGAAGAGTTGAACTGGTGTCTTCCAAGAACTTCTGCAGCTGAAAGATGCCACCCTCTCCAAGAGCCTGCCCAGAAGAAGAAATATTTGTGATGGGATGAAAATAGATAGAATCATCAAATTTCATGGAGGTCTGCTTCCTTTATAGCTGGTGGCAATACTTCATCAAAGATGCATTCATCTCTCCCTGGATTCACCCAGGCAACATTTTGGCACTCTTAGATAAGCCAAAATAGGCAGAAGTTAACACAACACATGGTAGATTGAAAGCCATAAGCATCTTGTTCAAGTCCTTAGGGCTCCAAAACTGAAAGTGCGGCCATAAAATTGGATCTGACGGTGTACTTCAGTAGCTGCTATATAAAAAGCATCATTCAGTCAAAAAAAGTGAACAATTTTAGTCTCAGCGCCTCTTCCTCCATTCTATCCCTATTAAATTATCTTTTTTAAATTGCCTCTTTTAGGATGGAGGGCCATTCCAGATCTTAAAGATATAAAATATGGGAAGTGCTTTTTAAAAATTAAACAATGTATAAGTGGTTATTATTACATGTCACTAAACTTTAATTCTGGAAGATAGGTTTTCTTAACAACAAAATATGGTGAGAAGAACAAGACATCCCTGGGGATGTCTTCATTCATTTAGTTTTCTGACTCAAAACGTTGCCTCTGATATCTTCTAACTGCTTTTTTCACACTTCCTGCTCAATGCATGGCTGTTGGGAAGGATGTCAGATTATAAGCGAAACCCTCATTCACACGCATATGCACAGATTCAGTGTAGCAAAAAGTGAGTGGGACACAAATTGGCAGTGAACTTGGAATTGTAATTGCAATTAAATAGTTGCAGCTAATCTCCTAAACGTATCTGTGCTTTACATGTACTTTCAACTACAGATTTGATTCATTTGCAGATTGCCTTTTCGACATATCCTTAAGAGAAAAGAACCCACTGATTATACAATGTGCTAAGTAAAACAGCTGTATATAACTTATCATGCATTATAAAGTTCTTCTTCAAAAGAGGGAGCTTCTGCTTCCATTCTGAAGGTTTTCCCAAACTGAGGAAAAAGGAAACCCCATACGCCCATCCCCAAACCACATCCCCTATTCCTGGATAGCATGACAAAACACCAATGTGTTGGATAATATCCCAGTGTACCAAAGGCTTCCTGTCAAGAACTCCAGCACCACAGTTTAGAAGTCAGTATCGCCTTGCAATACAGTATTTGTAGTTTGTATGGAATTTGAATTCTGTGGGGTTGGTTGGTGACTGGAAGCTTCCGAGGAAGTCTTGGTTGATAGATGGTTGGGAGTGGTGTTAAGCTCAATTTCTAGGTGCTGTGTTACTGCTTTTGCTTGTATCCTGAGGTCAGGGACCCCACAGCTGGAACACAAAGCAAAACTTCTGCAAAAAACATGATGCCTACTTCTGTACTGATCTGCCTAGGGGCTCCCTGGGGAACCCGAGCTAAAACAGGATAACCCAAAATATCTCCAACTTGGATTAATTTCATTACACCAATATTGAAAATGTGCCACAAACTTTCTCAACTTGATACCTTGGCATTGCCCTCAATATACCTACAGCGACACTTTAAGAATGGCCATTTTCCTGATTAAAACCCAATCTTATAATGAACTAGTGAAAGGTCATTTGAAGCTTAAATAATGATGTACTTGAATAATTTACACACATACACACAAATGTGATTGAGATTCTGAGCTTCACTGATGAAGTTCAAATTTCACCTAGCTCCAAGGGGAATCTTAGTAATAGGAAGCAAGAAGACAACATACAACATGGGCAAATTCAGATTATCTTCCAGACATTATTTGGAAGTCAAATTTGCTCTCTTTTGTGTTTTCTCCAGTCACCATGGCTCAGAAGACTCATAGTGGCTAGAAATGTTAGCTAACAAAATCTAACATAAAACAAAACATACTGGAAATTTTCCACTAAGTCTCTCTAGATTAGAAGAAGATCTTGTAGAGTGACTAATCTATCTCTTAATTTCAATCAAGGCAGCATAGCCTCTCATTGATTGGTCTTGGTTATTGAGAATTCTTGTGTGGTCTTTTCACAAGAAAATCTGCAAACTCCCATCTAGGGGTTGGTTCTGTCCTGTGGGGAAGATCATTATCTTTATTTTCTCCATCTGCAAATACTCATCCCAAGACCATCCCATTTCCATTAATCGTCCTTTGGTCTTTGTGGCCTCAACTCCAAGCTGCTCTCTGAAACAAATGTAACTTGCCCTCCGGTCACAGGTGTATTTTTTGCTAAATATTCTTCCCCTGTTTTCTGCCTGCTAAAATCTTATCACTCCTGATTAAAATCTGCTTTTTCAATCTCTTTTCTGATGTGAAGGGTTCCTGGTCCTCCTTCATTATTCCAGATGGAGCAGAAGGAGCAAAAATTACAACTTTTTCTTTCTCCTTTTGGGTTTACAACTTCTTTTGCTTCACTGCACAACCACCTTGGCCTGCAGCTGTCTCAATCTTCATTCTCCCTCTTTTCAGGCAGCCTTGAGTAATTAACTGGTAAATTCTTTTTTTAATGTTTTCAATAAAAATTCAATTTCTGGAAAAGCTCTGCCCTTGTCTTGGTTGTCTTCAGCATCTGATGAGGTCACTCTCTGCTTGTATGAGGTGACTTCACTCAAGAATCAGATTGCAGGTGACTTCCAGGGAAGGCATGTGAGCTAAACACGTCTCTGTGGGGAGTGGAGATGACAACCGCAGCAAATACCAAAGAATCGGTGAGTAGATCAGTTCTTTGAGACCTCTCCAGATAAGGACAGGACAAGAGATCATCCACATGGGTTCTGGATGGCTGCTCCTCGTGAGGAGACTGCAGGATAGTGGTCTCCAGAGGGTCTGAATGCCGGGAGATTAAGGGATTAATCGTCAAGCTCACAACCATGGCCAGCACCTTTGAAAGGACACTAAGTTTGCTAACCTCACTTCTAACCACTTTTGGAAATTGCATATTTAAATATCTTAAGATTATCAAAGGTCTTTGGAATGACAAGCCTGAAAATTCACCTAGTGAGTGTATTTTTATTTCTGAAAAAAAGAAAAATTAACTATAAGTTTAAGAACTTAAAGAAATAAATGGCAAAAAGCTAAACAAGATTTTGAACTAAAAAAGTTAT